AGGCAAATCTACCAACTCCCATACATGATTCTTAATTATAGAATCCATTTCTTCATTCATGGCATTAGTCCAAAATACATATTCATCATAATTAATAGCTTCTTTATAATTAGAAGGTTCAAGAGTATCTAGACAAACAAAGTTATAGTATTGGTCTAAAGTGTCCACACAAATAAAACTTTGATATAGTTCCAAACGATATACTTCTTTTTTAATCTTAGAACTTTTCTTAGGTTCAATGTCATCTACAATAGTTGGTTCAAATGTATCACTTCCACTATCCATGTAATTATCAATATTTTTTACATTAGGTTCATAATTTTTTATGTTTTCATCTACTCCTTTGTTTTTATCTAATTCATGTATATCTATAAGAAAATGTTTGCCTATTTTCACATCTCTAGATTTAACCATAGATTTGGTCTCATGGTTACAAAACCTATAAACTTTAAAGGTGTCAGAGTACCCTATGAATAAGCATTTTCTAATTTTAGCCTGCAACTTAGATCTTATGGCTCGGGATAAGTACATGAGAACCACAATCCCAAATTTTTAAATAATCCAATCGAGGTTTACATTCAGTCTATAACTCATAAGCCGTTTTCTCTATGGATTTTGAGGGGACAATATACAATCCTTTACCCCAAAATATTAAAGATAAGTTAGCATGACTCATCATTGCGCGCACCATTTCCATAAAAGTTTGTCTACGCCTATTGGCAACACCGTTTTGTTGGGGCGTGTGGGGCATGGTCGTATTATCTCATTTTCTTTACAAAAAATATCAAACAAATTAGAGTAATATTCGACTCGGCCCGTTATAAGGATTTTAATTCTTTTATGTAATTGGTTTTCAACTTCTAATTTAAATTCTTTGTACATATCGAGTGCATCGGATTTTCTACTAATCAGATAGATTTAACCAAATCTCGAGTAATTATCAGTGAATGAAATAAAATATTTCATACCCCAATGTGTTTTTACATTAAGTGACCCACAAATATCAGAATAGATAATAAACAATAAATCATAAGAACTAGTTGCCTTACCAAACTGTTTTCTACTCATTTTACTAGATAAACATGGTCATAATTTTTAAAATATAAATTTGTCATTTTATACACCAAGCCATCATTAACAAGTCTAAAAATTCTAATTCTACTGATATAACCCAAACCCATATGCCACAAAAAAGAAGTTTCATCATCACGCACATTCAAGTAAACATAAGAAGATTAAGTTTCATTTATTTTATCAAGCAAATACATATCCCGTTGAGTTTTCCCCATATAATGACTTTCCTATTAATCCTAATTGAAATATTCCCATCCCTGAAAAGAACTTCATATCCCTTGGCATCAATCCTCCTGATCGAAAACAAGTTACAACACAGGGAATGAGTATAAAGAGTATCAGAAACAAGCAAGAAATTTCAGTTTAGGATGGTTAATTTATAAGTGTCAATACCCAATACAGCAGACTTAGAATCATTGGCTATAAAGATGACATGTTCCTCAGCTTTAAGCTCCTTAAGTTCCATAGAGCCCTCTCTAGACCTGGATATGTGCTTAGTGGCCCCAAAGTCCACCCACCAATCATCAATAGACATATTAACTATTAAGCAATCAACCATGACACACAAGTAGTGACAAACTTGGTTGGTTTTGAGTTTGGGTAATGCGAAATGCATCAACCCTCCTTGAAGATCTACGATCCCCTTCAGATTTCAATTCAACAACAAAATTTTGAAGAGTAAGATCCTTGTTATTTCAAGATAAAGTAGTCTCCACAGATTCCCAAGAACTAGACAAATATTCAGCATAGTTAAAACTTGTTGTTGATCATTTAAACCATAACGCACATTAATAAGTTATTTGCTCAGCAAAATCATTTTCCTAATATGTTCAATTACAGAGTCATTTTCCTTCATCTTAAAAGAATAATACTCTTGAGTCGAAACTCTTAAATTACTCATTGAAGTCACCTCAAATTGTATTTCCAATTTATTATAAATATCTTTGGCATTTTTAAATTCATCAAAGCTTAATAAAAATTGATCATCCACATTTCTCAAAATTATATTCATACACTTCTTATTTTGTTTTTCCCAATTAGCATATGCTGATTTTTCTACCTATTGCTAACATCAGTGAGTTTAGTATGAACTTCAATTGAAATTATATGATCTAAATTTTCATGTTCTAAGAAGTAAGCCAATCTTCTTTTCCACGAATTATAATTTTGCCCATTGAATCTTTTCATCTTCAATTCTAGCTATAATTCATGAGTAATAATAATAATAGTACAAACCAAGTACAATACATTTGGTTTCTAGCTACGATCTCACCGGGCGATAGTTTAGACAATCAAGAAAAAATTAGCTCAAGATTTGCAATATCCGGTGATATGAAGCCTCAACATGGAGCCTAATCAACAATTCTTCCACCCCTCTCAACAGATCAATCCCAAATTAAAAGCAAACATCAATATAAGAAATCCAAAAAATAAAATTCTCTCTCTAGATTTGTGGAAAGAAGAAATTAAAAAATAAATAAATAAAGAAAAATATGATCTCAAGATAATAAATAGCAAAAAAAATCAGACATATGAGAACATCATAGGAGAATACTGTGTATTATCTAAGAAAGGGGAAAAAAATATTGATGATTGCAATAGGGTTTACTGGCTCTGTTTATTATACTTCAAAGTAGCCAAAATAAGAAGGAGAAAGAAGCACATAGCTGTTACCCAACCGTTAGAATGTGCAGCTAATGATCCAAGAAGTAAGTTTGGCAAGGGCAGCCATATCCGTTGAGAATTAAAAAAACAATTTGGCAACAACCACTGGGTTTTCGCTCCAGTGACACTGGGTTTTCCCTTCAGTGCAACATCCTATTAAAACTCAAATATGTATCCAAGTATATGGCATTGCTTCATGTTAACCACATGAGATTTCACATATACTTCAATATGACTTTTCTACTATTATTGAAAATAACTAAATTTTCGTGATAAAAGGGCCTAATAGGCCACATTTCCAACAGATGTCCTCACACTTGGACTCCAATTATGCCCCATCTATGTCTCTTGGGCTCACAATCTCTCATGGGCTCGCAAGGCAGCTTGATATGCCACTTCCACAGGGGCTTGTGTTGCAAGGAGAGTTCATATTGGGTTTAAAGCCACAAACCTGAGATATACCTTGTTAATCGCTGGCCCTCCATCTCATTCAAACCCTTCTGCAAGGATAAGTGATGGAAGTCCTCTGTACACTCAGGGATAGAGCTCAAACCTTGTTGCAATTGATGGAACTATTTTGTACACAATTTGCGCAGAGTTTGGAGGAAGAAATTGCTTATGCAACTTTGCCCTCATTTTTTCGTATCTTTCCACTTTTGTAACCTTGCTTCGTGAACTTGATCCCACCAAACAGATGCAAATCTTGACGTCATTTCTTTCTTGATTTGAATCTGATCTTTCGCCTGTTGTAACCTTGCTTCATGAACTTGATCCCACCAAACAGATGCACGTCCCAAAAACACTTAGTCACAATTAGCTCTACTTTATTTGAATCCAACAAGTCGTTCTATTCAAATATTCTTTCCATCGTACTCAACCAATAACCCCTCCAACAATACACTATCAAAATTTTATGTAAATCGACTTTTATTAATGAATTGCCATCAAGGCATCGTGTGTGTTGACTACTCATTGTTCATCCACTTGTATAAGCATCCAATTCACGTCCTTTGTTGAGGTCTTTGTGAACCCTGGCCCTTGCTAAAATCAGTCCCCGAATTTGATCCAAGTGATGTCATCTCAGTTTTAGATTCTTGTTGCTAGCCAAACGTGCCACCATGTATGGAATCCATGACTCGGGATCTTCTCTCGTTCATGACATGTCTTCGCTAATCTCTATGTTGCATAAGCACGGCCAAAGAGTCCATTATATTGATTTCAACCGACCTATTAAAGTCTTGAGCTCCATATCTTTATCTAGCTACTACGAGGAGCCATTACAATTGATGATACTCACCAACTACGGCTCTGATACCAAATGTTAGAAAATTGGTGCTCGAAAATGAGAGATCCAAGGCCAACTCTACAACAGTAACTTGATGAGCTTGATAGACAACCAATCGAGTTGAGAACTCCCTCGACCACCATCATGAGGAAAACAAACAAGGATCTTTTAGCCCTAACTACACTGGTACACCTTGTAGGGCCGAACCACGTTCCACTAACTAGGGCCTTTTCATCTACACAATGTAGGAGGAAATGCTATTTTAATTAATCAAATAATTACAACAATTACAAATTTATATAGAGTCCAATACAACAAACCTTGCTAGCACAAACCCTAGGCTGAAATAACTATTTTGCACTTAGAACACTAGAAGCAAATTCTCTAAGCCCCAACTCCTTATATATGCAATCTAAGGTGCAACCAATTTCCCATGGATTGAAAGTTCCCACCATCGGCTTTTTGACTCAGAAACTTTCATATCACAAGAAGTTACTAACAAATTTCCCTTGACGTTGGTTTTTTCCCAAAAAGTCCTTGAATAACAAATTACAAAAACAGTTATTAACAAACCCCAAAATGACTAATTTAACAAAAGTGGCAATGCCAAACACATTCCAAATCCAACAAGCTTCTTCATACAATTGCATTATTTTATACTTTTGATTTCCCGTAAGAAGACATATGTATTTTCATTTGGAGACAAACATAGTGGATAAAGCACAACATTTTTTATTTTTTATTTCAAAAAAAGTCAAAAACCGTAAGAATACATATGTATTTTCATTTGGAGACAAACATAGTGGATAAAGCACAACATTTTTTATTTTTTATTTTTTATTTCAAAAAAGGTCAAAAAAAGATGATCAAGGTATGTTGTTTTTTTGTCTTCTTGCATATGATTGACCGTTATGAAATCAAGCCCCAGCCTTCCGGCACTTACTTTTGGAACCATCGGATTAAACAAATGAGACATGCGATGTGATGTTTTCGCCCTTTGGAATGCCAGTCTGTTTTATTTACCCCCTCCATTTTCCTATTAAAGACGGCCTTGGTTCTCTGTGTCTCGCTTTCTTTGTGAGCAAGAGCGGGAATTCCTTTTGAGAAGGTCCTTGTTATACATAAGAGAGAGAGGAAATGGGGGGCGGAGTGTTGGAGAGCTTTCAACCCATATTTGGAAAAGTAGAAGGTGTTACAGAGAGCGACATGCCGCTTCATTCCTTCATATTTTTGGTGTACGCAGCTGATGGCACTCGCCTGAGAATACAGGTCTCTGATTTCCAAACCAGCAACACATGGGAGACTATTCAAACCATCCATCAGCTCGAGGACCTGGTGACTCTTTCTCCTTCCCTCGCTTCTGTTTTTTGTTTTTCACATACTTCCCTCTATTTTATCTTTACCTCGCTCATGTTCATTGCTCTGTTTCTGCTATGTTGTTTACTCCTCTCTCTAGAAGGGCTCCATTCCTTGATCTGTTTATTTCTGATGTCTTGTTCACCTCTCTCTGTGGAGGTGCTATATTTCCTTGTTCTATCAATTTGCTCTCTATCTCTCTCTCTATATGAAGGGAATGGTTTGTATTTTCTGTATTTCTACACTCCGCGACCTTATGATATACATTTAAGATTGAAATTGGACCACATTATGAATCGGTGGATGGAGTTGCTTGGCCATTGTGTATAGGATTAGGGCATTGGTCGCTATTCCATAACTTTTAAGTATTGTAGCCCCAAATGGAAGCTGCTATTTCTTTCCACTTATGCTTTTAGTCTGAATTGTATGAGATCTGCTTATTTTATGGCCGAATTGAACGCTTTTTTTTTTTTTTTTTGATGAGTATGTCAACTTCTGTAGGATACTAGAAATTGAAAGGAATGAGCTCGGTTTTCTTTTAGTTTTTTTTTATGAGTACTGTCAACTTCCGTAGGATACTTGAAACTGAAAGGAATGAGCTCGGTTTTGGTGTTGTTTTAAGTTTTTAAGGATTGAGGAAGATGCAGGGATGATAATGAAGATTCTATAGTCAAGTGGGCTTCTTAGTTGATAGTATTTTCTTTGGTATGTAATCACATTTTGGTTTGAAAATTAACAAAATTTTGACAGAAATAACATCATATGTTATGGAAACAAAAGACTGGGTATAGTTCGTTCACAATGATGTAGAGATAGTAACTCACTTTGATCTTCATCAGTCTGATTTAGTTTTATGTACTTGAAATTTGCGTCTTCATCCTGATCAAATGTTTGCTGGAACCTGTGATCTGTTATAATATAATGTGGATATTTTTGGCTTGTTTAAGAAAAGAAATACAAGTTCTCATGATGTTTATAATACAATGTGGAAAAATTTACTGTTTGTTTATGTATGTTTTATGCATTATTCTGGTTGTAGTAACACTGTGGTCGCAATAGCTATAGCACCATTTATTTTTATTATTTTTCATTGTTAACTTTTATTAATCTCATGTAAAAATGTACAAATATAGACCATATACAGCATTCTTACTGAAGGGAAAATCCGAGGATGGGGTTGTCTCCTAGGGGTTTTGAGGTAGGTGTGCAATGAGCAACCCAACGGCCCTTCTCTTGCCAGTGAGCCCATTGTAATGCTATTTATGTTGTCATTTACATCATCTAGCCTTTATTACTTGTAGACCATTCTCAGGGCTCTATTACCCTTAGCCATATATTTGTGGCACGTTTGCGAGCTATGAAAATTCTAGATCTGAAACTCTAAATCAATTTCATTATATCCATCAATTGCTTGGAATTTCGATTTCATAAATCCTACCATGTCCTGAACCGCAATTTTGTTCTCTTTCATTTTGGTGTTATACCCTACTTGTATGTGGCATAGTTCTGTCTTTGGCCTTAGGGTTTTCGTTCATCATCTTGTTACGATTCTTATGTGCTATCTCTTCAGTTTTGGACGTATTGCACAAGGCCCTGTTTGATAGCACCTTAATATCCTAATATTTTAGTATAATATAGGATCTTTTAAAATAGGGACAATATAAATTCTATACCCTGTTTAATAAGGTCAAATCATATCTTCTAATATCCAAATAACCCCAAATATTTGAATCCCCAAAAATTCATCTCTCTTTTCTCTCACTCTCTCTCTCTCCCTCGCTCCCTCTCTCATCTCGTGCACACTCTCCTCTACCTCAAAAGAGGCCCTTTTTCTCTACATAGAGACCCTCTCTCGCGCATATATTGAGCAAGTTTTCCTCACAAACCCTTGCAAAAGACAAATGATAAAGATCAAGATTTCATTCCCATGAAAGTTTTCTTTAACAACTTTGTCCTGTGTGCACCCAATCCCCCAAACAGCCAAACCCAATCCTTCAGGGTTAGGATATGCCCTGGTATGTACAAGAACCTCAATTATATGTGCTAATAAGATCCGCTTTCTCCTGCTAATGACACACACTCTCATTCTAACTCCATAACCTCAAATCTGTAGGATTTAGCGGAACAATAGTAGCAGCCTGTACAGGGATAGTTCGATCATCGCATCAGTCATGGCTAAGAGCACAGAGAGGTTCTTTTTCTCTAAGCCTGGAGAGACAAAGTCCATTCTAAGAAAGAATAGAAGGTGGGCTCTTTACAATGAGAAAAAAGATTTGGGGTATGATTTTTACAATGAGAAAAGAGACGTGGGGTGTTATTTTTACAATGAGTGCGTGTCAATGTCGATGGGTTTTGGGACCCATTATGGGATTTCAGAGTTTCAATCGAGGAGATGGTTGAGGTCCACGGGCTGCGAGATTGGGCATTGTTGCAATAGATTTTGCAGTGTTATTTGAACTTGATCTTCTATTTAAGACAACTGCAGAGGTTGCAAGAGAAAATGATTGCTGATTCTGGTGCTTTGCTTCTCAAATGGTCTCTAATGGAGTATTTTTGTTTTCCTTTTCATTTATTTTTGCATTTTTTTGGTTTTCAGGTGTATATAATTTTCGAATTTTGTTCTATTAGAAAGAGAAAGGGGGAAAGTCGGGCAATAAAGCCACCTTCACAATTAAAAGGGAAATTCCCACCTTATTTGTCCAACACCTTAACCCCATCAACTTTGAGAGCATCTTCTCTCTAAGCCCTCACTCTTTCTCTCTCCTCTATGCATCAATTTCTCTTCACTTCCACTCTCCATTTTCTTCTCTACTAATACCATGTTGGGTCATCTCTGTCATCTCTCTAACCCACTCTCTTTCTCTCTCCTCCATAGCTCTCTGTCTTGCCAACCACCATCCATCTACTTCTCTGGTTTTTTCTCACAAGGGATTTGTTGGCACTTCCTAAAACTATGAACAAATGCAATGAGAAGTGATGCCCCATTTTATTGAATTATGTGACTTTCTATCTAGAAGAAAATTCTAAAATGCAGGTAGACAATCAAACATGCACCAAAAAATATGTATCAAGATAATATATAATTCATATATATGAAAAAGGAGGCAATGATGCTATTTAGATTTCCAGAAATTTGGATATTTAGACTCTTTTTTGCAAACAGACCCTAAGAAAATACATTTTGTGTTTTAACTAATAAACCTGTTGTCATTGTTTTTCACACATATAGAGAGCCACACGCCCAATATATTGTTTGTCATGTTTGATCTAGGAAATTTGAGCCACCTAAGTTTCAGATATTTTGATCAAGAATTTGTAAGATACATTAATTTTCTTCATGAGCTTTTATTTCAAAGTTCAGCAAGACCAACTAGTTTATTGTTTTAAATTTGTTTTTTTGGGTGCACTCTTGAGGTATTGCATAGGTTTATCCATTTATGAAACTCATTCAAATTACGGGCAGTCCTAACCTCCTTCGTTCTATTTATGGGCTGTTGATATTATGCTAAACAATCAAGTTTGTTGCAAACTCCAAGAGTTTTTGTATTTATTTTAGCAAGTTTTTGTATTTAATTTTTTGCTAAAACCTACCTTTCTTGGAAAGGGCAGAAAATTTATATATTTCCTATGTAAGGTTTCTTCTTTTTATTCTTCTTACTTTCTCTCTCTCTTTCTTTTTCTTGTGATATGCATGTGGTATTTGGAATTTTATGTTCTCAGACTGGTTTATTACTTTTTATAAATGAATTGATAGTAGGTGGCATAATCTGTTTAAAAGAGATCTCTTATATGTAATTTTCACAATTCTATGCAGAGGGATGATGTTGGAGTTGGTGGTTCATTGAATGAATTTGTTGACTATATTGTGACATCTTTATCATCGAGCAATGTCAAGCTTGTATTAGGAAGCCCGATGAAATCGGATGGTCGTTATGGTGATAACTCTATCTTCATCATTTATATCCTTAAAATGATCCATGATATTTGATTATAAAATCTTTTAGGACCAATTTGTGTTGTTTTAGGAATATAAAATCTTTTACGTCTGGTAAGGTGTTCTTTAGTTTATATTACTGAGTGCATGCTATCTCAAATATAAATGTTAAATTAGATGCAAATAGAGTGGTTCAAGATTTTATATTTGTTTGGAGAATGTGAAACACTTATTAGTTTCAAAATCTCTGCACATGGTAATATGAAATGTGGGCATTAATGTAAACACTTGACCATCCTTCTAGAAATGAAATTTGGGATGAGTTCCCCCAATTTCAGTGCTGAATTCTGTAGTACGTAAGTATTTATCTTCCATAATGTATTTGTTACTAATGTTCATATGTGTAGTGACTTACTCTAAACATATTCTAAAATAGGATCATATATACTGAGCAATAAGTGTGCATGAGAAATAAGACCAACATATATTTATTTATGAAAACTTGACACCATGCATGTTATACCTTTTAATGAATTTTTGAACTAGGTTTTGTCAAAAATGTTGCACACATTTAAAATTTCTAGCATATAGATTTGTCTGACCAAGAAACATAATCTCAAATAATTGTCAACATAATACATTCATAGAAATAATTCTCTTGTTCTTAATACTGAGAGAGCAATTTCCCAACTATCTTGAAATTTCTTGTTGTAAATAACAAATTTCAATGTGCATGCCTTTGGTAGGAATCGGTGCATACCATTTTAGATGCAAGTGAAATATATTATGGAAGTGCACCCATGTAACCAATAACCTTTTCAGTTTTTCAATGCAATTATTATTATTATTTATCATTAGTTCCAATACAAAATATTATGAAGAACCTTGATGCCTCCATAGATTTTAGGGATTTAAAATATCTAATAAAGTAAACATGTCATCATCAATATCATCATCAAAGCCTTTTCCTAACAAATTACGGTTTGGTTGCACGATCCTGTTTTGCCATTCTGCTTTATTAAGAGCCATTTCTACAGTGAGGCCATAAGTCCCCATGTCATTTCTCACTACCATGTCCTTTTGAGCATATCCCTTGCCTTTTTTGAGCCTTTCACTTGCTGTATTCGCGCTACACATGACCAACCCACCTAAGTCTACTTTCTCACATCTTATCACCTATTGGCGCTATACCTAAATTCTCTCGAATGTATTTATTTCGAATTCTATCTCTTTTTGTCTTGCCACTCATCCATCTCAACATCCTCATTTCAGCTACACTCATTCTATGGGTATGTTGTTTCTTGATTGCTCAACATTCTGCTTCATAAAGTAAAGTTGGTCTCATAGCTGTCCTATAAAACTTGCCCTTCAATTTCATTGGTATTCGGCGATCGCATAAAACTCCGGTTTCATATCTCCATTTTTCCCATCCAGCTCTAATTATATGTGCGACATTTTCCTCTTTCTTTCAATTTTCATGGATTATCAACCCACGATATTAACAGTGCGCTCTTATTGGTATTTCCTGGGTATTATTACTAAACTTGCTTTCCATATACTCTGTCCTAGTCCAGCTAATTTTAAAACCTTTAGATTCTAAAGCATCCCTCCAAAGGTCTAACTTTGTGTTGACGTCGTTTCAGGTCTCAATCTTATAATAATTGCTTTGGAAACCAGCTTTTGATTGGACGAATTAATGGTAAATTATTATTATGCTTTTCTATTTTACAAATAAAAGAAAAGCTATAACATTCTTTTGAAGAACCCCAAACCTAAAGAGCGATGGACTATGAGCTTTCCCTATTTGTTCTTTTTAAAAGAGCTAATTAATTAATTGGGGTTGACCACCCAAGAAAAGAGTGTGTGCGTGTGTGTGAGAGAGAGAGAGAGAGAGAGAGAGAGGTCTGTCCTCCATGGTGTATGAACTTGAGGGGGCTTGTGGATCCTGTGGTATCAACTCATGATGTCCTAGATCACTATATCACATTCTCATTTCATGCTTTGCTCTCTGTTGGGTTTATGTGGCCTTTAAAGGCCTTGTGAGAGCTTGTATGAGCATTTTATATATAAACTCAGTGGGAATGTGGTCCTGTTATAGGCCATATTAGGCAAAGACTATTTGTCGATACTTGGATTAGGCTCGACGTGCTTGGCTAGTCGAGTTTTGAAAAAACCCAAGATACCTGGGTATAGGGATCTACCGAGAAGGGTTTATTGGATTAGCCCTCGAAGTATGCCCAGATGAGAGCCAAATGACTATGTGGCCCTTGCGTGTGATGAATAGCCTTTAGAGATAGGGTTAAAAACCTCGTCGTCATATCATCACATGACATGTACATAGATAGCCATAGTGAGATTCACCAATGAGGGTGGAGCGTGTACATGTGCAAGAGATTACCCCTATGCACCATAGAGTTATGGTTGCATCATGGTCTGGAGGACCATGATATTTTTTGTCTCTAGGGGAGATCTTGAAATCCATAAATTGGGATTGTGTCCCTTAGTCTATTGACTGTCTTTGATGGTCCAATCTTGAATCCTTGCAGTGGACTGTGGGTCATGGGAACTGCTGGATCAGTTTGAGAAAGTTAGGTGCATCGTGGTCCGCAGTTGAAGATTGAGTGCTCCCATATATTGATAAGTTCTTAGATCTAATAGATCCTATCAAAATTAATTAATTTTATGTTATATGATTTTTAGAATATTGATTTGAATTTTTGTGAATCTTTTGATATTTTATTTTTGTCATTTAGATTTATAAATTAAGAGAAATTAATTTTTCAGTGTTTTAAATAAAATATAAAGATTTAACAAATTTTAAATACAAAATAAAATATTTTCTAAAAATATATGGGACCCTCCAAAAAATATGAGGGCCCAAATTTAAAATGTGGATTGGGTGTGGCCCACATGTGGCCACCAAAAGGGTGGCATGCCCCACCTATTGGGATTGATGTGTTCACCAAAATTGGGTGATAGTTATCCCTTTGTTTGTTGGCTTAACTTTTGAGTATAGCCAATGTCACACCCCAAGAATTTACAATACTGATATTCCTAAGATGTGACAGTCAAAACATATATATACATCTCTTTTTAGGACAAATTTACAATGGCGAATGTTTAAAAAGTAACAAAAGAAAGTTTAAGCACAACTACAATATCTTCCCAAAGTTGATCCTGATGAGCACTCAAATGAAACCGCAGTTATCCTGAAAAATATTTACCATAGTTTGATGAGTTTGGCTACTCAGTAAGTGATCATCATAATCTTAAAAATAATCATGGTTGAAAGATATCAGTATTTTCAAAAAGGAGATCTATTAACAGAAATGCATCAACAGTTTCACTTTCAATAAATGCATAATTAAGTATAATCCAAATAATTGAAATGCATATAACACTTTAACGGCAGTGCATAATTCAAAGGATTTCACAAAATACCCTACTGGCGTCCCAAGTAGGTCACTTATATACCCCATCAGCGTCTTGATGGGTCCACTTAATCCCTATCGGCGTCCCAGATAGGTCCACTTAATCCCTGCAGGTCCACTTATACCTCACCGGCGTACCGGATGAGTCCACTTGCATACTTAAATTATTTCTAAATCTCTTTAAACATTCAAAAGCAGCAAATATCATGTACTCAACATATCACTGAAATCATTAATATGAATCTCACTGACACCATTAATAACAATCACTTTCAATAACATTTCAACCAATCAAATATTTTGGGCTCAAATTTAGAAAGGTAGCAGTTCGTAAAGGCATTCTAGCATAATTGCCAATCTAATATGTATAGAAAAACTCTTATAGAAATTCAAGAATACGGAATTATCACAATTTATGAGATGTTAATTTGCAATTAAACATTTCACAACAATACTATAATCAAATGCAAAAATATCATTTTTCAGATAATAAGGCAGTCATTTGCACATGAAATTCACAATGTCTAAATATTTAAAAACAGTAGAAAGAAATCTCACAATTTTACTAAAAGCAGAAATATCACATTTATTTCTAATAATTTGATAGTATCCAAAATTTTCTAACAATAGACAAGAAAAATAAATAAATTTTTTTTCTAAGAATTTACAGCATTTAAAATTTCTAACATAGATAAAATATCACAATTTTTATTAAAAAGATTATTTTTCAAGATAATGAGGTCGTGTGCGCATAAAAATTATTTCGCCTAAAATTCATGATAATAAGCAGAAATAATTATTTCATTTTATTTTTAAAAAGAGTGGATTATTTTTCGAGACAATGAGGTCACTTGCATACAAAACTTATAAAATAAAGATCCTGGACGGAAATATCACTATTTGTTAAAAACAGACTATTTTTCAGGAAGACGATGTCACTTACACATAAAATATTTGAGAGGGAGCTTCTAATAAAAATTCGGTTAGAGAGAAAAGTTCACTGTGTTTCGACCAGAGAGAGAAAAATCTTAAAAGTTTTCTAGGGTGGGAGTCCTTGCCTCTCGTATTTAAACTCTTACAAGACCTTATTATAATATTTTATTAAGTTACACCTCATACACGAGGTGTAACTGTTACAATACCCCTTATATGCTTAAAGCCCACGTCCACTTGACATGGCAAGGCCAGAGCAAACAAAAGAAACTTAACCCAAAAGATTTTGAAAATAGTGATGGTCCCTAAGGACCATTATGCTTATATAGACCATCACCTATTTAAAGTTTCTTTCCTTCTTTTTTTTTTTCTTTTTTTTTTTTTTTTTTTGAAATTTTAGAATTATTACAGCCAACTTACATAATAAGGCTGAATAATTGAAATATTTAGTAAATCCTTGAATTAAGATTGCTTGGTCTAAGAAATAAGGATTGGATATACTAAAATAGAAAGTAAGATATATACTTTATTTATTTAAAGATTTAATGGGAATAGATCTAGAAAAGGGATGATAAGGCTCTAGCTCATCTCTTTGAATCTTGATGGTGGATCAAAGAGATGGATGGTTCAAATCTCTCACCCCATAAGTCTCCGTAGATCGACGGTCGAGATTTGACCTTACGAATTGAGGCAAACCCCAAGGCATAGAAAATCTATAAAAAGAGGCTCTCCCACCTCATAAAATCCCTACACCTATTCTCTCTTCTCTCTTTAAGGGTTATCTCTCTCTCTCTCTCTCGAAGATCTCTTTATAGGTGGCTCGTCCCATTTAGGGCTTCAATATCTCTCCCAAGTTTTTCTAAGGGAGACACGTCCCAACCAAAGTCTCTCTCAAGCCAAGGGGGCCACGCCCAAGTCATCTCTCTCTCTCTCTCTCTCATTTTTAGGTAGCACGTCCAGCTAAGATTAGCTTGTGGTGGTTTAATTTTTGGGTAGCAATGGGGAGGATCCCTTTGCTAGTAGAACTCTCCCTCTTTCTTTGATCTATCTCTCATATCTCCAACGATCAAGCCAAAAGGGCTTGAGCAAGATTAAGGTAGTTGGTTATAGATTGAGATCCATATACTATTGAGAGGGTTTTGCCATATGTAGGAGAATCAAGAGACCAATCACAAATCCCGAGTACCATCAGAAAGAAGAGACTCGGTGTGGGGTGTACTAAGCCCGGTTGAGGTAATCTCCGACAATTTTACTTATTTAAATCTTTATTTGTGATTTGATCTTCTCTTCCCATAAAACAATGCGTTAAGGAATTATATTCAATAGTGGTAGCAAATGAGAATCATGTTTCTTTTCTTTTATTTATTTGTTTCAAGAGTTATTTGTTTGTAATTGGACATTGTGAGTGGTCTCGCCGGTGTAAGAATAAGAAAATTTTAATTTATATACATCATGCTTGATCACATAGTCCAACTTTCACTCTCAACCTCTTCTTGTTCTTGAATTTGTTTTGTTACTTTGAAATAAAGATGCTATTAGTTTAATGGTAAGTTTGCTGTGCAAGTCAAGCCTTGGACATTGTGTTGCAGTTTTGAAGTCTCAATCACTGTACAAAAATTGCACTCCCTAAAGGAACGTTGGGTCATAAGGCTGAGTTAAGAATTTTTTTTAATTAATGTGCAAAAGCAAAATTATAATGCTTATCTTGATTAGGACTAATTTATTGAGCTTTTTTTAATGATATTATAAGGGAATGGAGATTCCGCACATTCAAAGACCTTTAGCACATTCAGAAAACTTCCCAAATTACTTGGTTGAAGCCCTCTCCTTATCCTCTTAACTGGCTGTGTCTCATATGGATAGTTTTGGGGAATGGGGATTTATGACATGATTCATGTGTGAAGGGAGTACAACTTAAAATATTGTTGTCTGCTATCGGGCAAAAATACCTCTACCTGTACATTTAAAATCAAATCTAAAACTTTAAATTGCTCAACATTCACGACCGGTGATCTCTTTTACTCATGGCTCATGGTGACCAACATAATTTCTCCTGTAGCTTGGCCTAGGTCTGTCTGTAGACAAGCTTCATCTTTATGCTCATCGCGCAATCCACATGCGAATGGCTTCACAACTAAGTTTTGCATTAAAAAAAAAGAATGGTAACTGTATTTTGATTTATTAAAAAATGGGCTTTATATGTGTATAATTTCTCTACAAAATATCGCTCGCCCAACAAACTAAATACAAAGTAATATTGTGTGAATACCAGCAAGGGTTTGTTTGCACCCTCTGTTGCGAAACTATCGGCCAATTTTGCTTTCTCCACACATGAATCAAAGACGTTCTAATCTTACTACCAATTCAAAATTTCGTCGAAGCTATTTGCAAGTATCCAATGATATTATGTGTTTTTAGTGGCCCATCTGATTGCTTCTTTGATTCCCCCACTATTACTATTCAACTCCAACCTTGCCCTATGGCTCTCAATGCTACTGATGGAGTGTGTTGCTCGAATCACAGGTATGTAGTGACTGACGTCATGAGTGTTTTAGCTTCATGATCTTGAAGCGCTTTTGAGCTTCTATTGATATTTAGATTAAACCATCCATCATTTGGGGTCTTCCAACTTGCATTCCTCGACAACTGGGGCACATATTTCTCGTGTTAGATAACCACTGACTCTGGAAATCCGATGTGGAGTAAACCCTGCGCCCCCCAAATTCATTTCTCACCCATTCCTAAGAAACAATTGTTGCCCTTATCAATTAACGGCTCAATTTAATGTTCCTCTGACCTAGAGAGCCCAACAATTCCTCTCTACCGAAATGGCCCATATGATAGCCATCAAAGTCATTTTCCATAGTGTGATATCAAGTTTGTAGAAAGTTTCAATTGATGCCCAAATTCTCAACCTGGGAAACCCCAAAATATTAAAAACTGGACCTGGTGAAAATGCCTCAGTCATAAAACTTGTGAAGGGGTCATACAAATACCTAAAAGAAACCTGCTAAGTATGCATAATGTACATTCTAGTATTTATTAAGTGCTTCTAAAATATAAGGTACTTTTGTGCTTGCTTCATTAGTACCAAAAAATGTCTTAGGTTATGAAGTCCAATTTTAAAAATCATTGTTTCAAAAAATGGTCTGCTTGGAGCCCATTGGACCTCAGGGTGCACGCCCAGGCCTGGCCGGCCCTCCTTGGGCGCCAGTACTTGGGGGCCCTCCCAGGCAGCCTAGGCGGGTGACCAAGGCCTGCGCTGTTTTTTGGAGAAACCGTCATTTGCAATGACCATTATTGTGAAAAAATGTCATTTTCCAATAAAGCAAAAAAAATCCTATCAGAGCATTTTGATTGCTGCATAGTTTTCTGTTTTTTCATCAAACTTCCCCTTTTTCTTTTATTTTTTCTTTTTTTCTTTTTTTTTTTGCCTAAACGCAATTCATGCAATGTGAAATGGAAACAACCACGTCCAATTGTTCCCCTAATTCCAAGTTTTGAACCTGACTTAAGAGATGCAAGTTGATGTTTGATTGATCCCGATAACTCGGAAAATTGGTTGATGTTTTCATAATTATAGGAATCCCATTTTGTTTTGATGTAATAGCCCCATAGTAAAATGAGAACAGGGAATACATGTCCAGAACAGAGTGCGTGCATTGCCTAGGGTGCATTTCTCACTCTAATGTAAAACAGGGCGACTGAGGTTTTGAGCGCCAGCCTAGGCGTTGGGAGCCAGGCTGGCCGCGTAGCGCTTTTTGAAACCTTGTTAAAAATTATTTTCAAATTTTACAAAATTATTTTTGCGCAAATCATTTGTGAGAACTTGGGATAGGTGGAATAATATTTATCTCATTTTGTTTAAAGAACATCTTGACAAGCTCATTGATGGCCCCACAAATTAATTTCTTTGAAGATTGAGCAGGGGATTATAAACTGCTTCAGTAAGAATATACTGCACCTTAAGGGACTTGCATTCATTTTGATACCCATACATGTGTATAGAGTCAAAGTAACAGTTGGTCCTTTTTGCATGGTTCTTGGATGTAGTGCTGCAGAGCTGTATGATACAACTCTTACCACTAGTGACAGAGCCCATACGTGCGCACTACACTGACATGAAGCACTTCATGTAGAGTCTCCCACATGCCAATTTCATACTTGCTTGTGCATTTGAGTTGCTCAAGTCACGCGTTTGAGTCGCTCAAGTCACGCGTTTGAGTCGCTCAAGCACTTCATGTAGAGTCTCCCTTCTGTTCACTATTGATCTTGTATGAGATTGGCCTGCAGACCCTTGGTAGGCTGAGGGTCTATACCAGTTCTGACAGACATCAGTCAGTCCATGTGGCCCATATCATATGCTGGTTTCTGACTAGCAGCATCTATGAACTCTTGAGAATGCTCATATCAATACGACTGAGGAAATCTCATAACTAACAAACCTAAGACCAGGGAGATCCATAATAATGTAAAGGACCCACTTGTCCAAGGGCAAATTCATTGATCAAAATATGTGCTTTTGATGTGAGCGCAGTCATAAGTTACAAGTTGCAGTAAGATTCTTCTTAAAACAAGTAAGAAACAATAAGGCCTTCTGTAGTTTTTAGTCCCATGAGCAGGGAGCTTGTTGTGCGAAATAACAGGCTGGAAAAATCCTACTCATTGCGTATGAGCATAGGGCTTAAGCATGCGCCATTGAGGGGTTAGAATCTTGCTAGTCGTATTCTTGTTTGTTAGATTTCTTTATATGATCCTTAACCTTAAGGAATATTTATGTCTTTCTGTTGATGTATATTATTGAGCTTCGTTCTCGTTTTATGCTCTGGTTTCAATGTAACTTGTTGGTTCAAGGGTGATAATATGAACACTATTTGGTTGATTCGATCAAGGATTGGAGTAATATCCCATGGCTTTAGATTGATCCCTTAAGGTGATCAATTATTAATTTTTATTTTCTCTAATGTTGAGAGGCCTTACATTCAAAGAGAGGTTATTATGCCAGGCGATTGTAAGAAATCTCAAGGTATGCGCCTCGTGGTTGGATTACGTTAAGCGCATTACGTTAAGCGCAATCATAAACTGGTTTGTGCACTTCCCTCTTCTTTTTGTTCTAGTGAAACATTTTACCATGCATATGAACTTACAGCCAAGTTCGGTTTGGATTTGAATGTTTGCCATCAAATCACTTGCTTGCCAGGTATTTGTCTATATGAGACTATGAGTTCCCTAATGTGGTATCCGACATTCTTGCAAATTGTCAGGAAATCAAATGTATATGGTATCTTCTTGTGGATTTTTGAACTAGCTGTGGTGATCATTTGACATTTAAATTTATGAACTAGACTTGTTTTCTATGTACTTATTAACTTCTCTACATCTCTGAACTTGTTTAATCATGGTAACAGTTGCTAAGAAATTGATTGTAAAGTATTTTTGAGGTTTTCTTAAATTTTTGCCTAGCTGCTTTGTTCATGGAAATATGCATACTTTAAATGGTTGCAATTAATTGTTAAATCGTTTTATATGTAAGGCATCTAGTATTTGATGTTTTATTTTTTTCTTTTCTTTTTCTTTGACTCTTTTGCATTCAGATGCGTCATTTGCCAAGCTGACAGCCCAGAAGGCTAAAGGAATGCCTCGGATATCCTTTTCTCTTGCAAAGCTTGTGGAGACTTCAGCTAGTGATGTTATGCGCAACATTTCTTTCGAACTATTTGAAGTTTATAAAAGAAAAAGTGATGCGGTTGTCAAAGGTTCCTTTCTGCCACTATATGTTTTTGAAAACCATCATTCCTTGAGTTTCCTTCATGTTGATTTTAGTTTCCTCACCATGTTTTTCTTACGATATTTGGTCTTGGCGTCCTTGTTTATGCATCAAACCTTTTATTATATGACTGCCAATGTGGATTTACATTATTTTGCCTAATGCCTATGGCCATATGCCATTTGTGTATCACTGAACTAATAGCATAATAGCTTTTGTTCTTTAGCTGAAGTCTTTAATGAAATATATTACATTGTTTACCTTGATTATTAAAACTGGAGGAATTTTTCCTTGGTAGGTTGATCAATTGCTTTTTTTGGGGAGGGGGAATGGATAGGATCCTAGCATATATATATATATATAGAAGAATCTACGCAATGCCTATGGGCGAAAATGAATAGTGTTTTCGCCCATAGGTTCATCACTGTCTGAAAAATCGGGCGACGTGCATTTTTCAACCGCCACGAACCTAGCATGTCCGTGGCGGTCAAAAGATCACGCGGAACCACAAGACGTCTGTTGCGAATCTATTCAATAAACCGCCACGAATATAGCAAGTCCGTGGCGGTGGTGAAACACTGTAGCATTTTGCCTATAGGTGTTTTTTAGGTTTTTCTATATATCTATATATATTATGTGTTTATGAATTTAAGTAGATGAACTGTTCCCAAAACTATAGAGAAGGAGACAATTTTGAAAAACGGCAAAGGGGAGAATTTTGGAATGTTGATAAATATGAGAGAGATTTTAGGAAAGAGGGAGAGAGAATTAGAGAAACCGTAGAGAGGAGAGAGAGATTTGAGGAAAGATATAGGAGATTTTAAATGAGGGACAAAGATTTTAGGAAAGAGGGAGAGAGAAATAGAGAAACCATATAGTGGGAAAGATTTTAGGAAAGAGGTAGAGAGAGCAATAAGGAAATTGTAGAAAGGGACGGAGTTTTGAAAAACTATAGAGGGGAGAAATTTGGAATGTTAATAAATATGAGGGAGAGAGATTTTAGGAAAGAGGGAGAGCGAGAGTTGGAGAAACCGTAGAGAGGGTGAGAGTTTTGAAATTTAAAGTGTTAATAAAATTGAGGGAGAGATATGTGAAAAGATATAATATAAGAGATTTTAAATGAGGGAGAGAGATTTTAAGAAAGAGGGAGAGAGAGAAATAGAGAAAATATAGAGAGGGAGAGAGTGGGAGAGATATTTTAAGAAAGGAGAGAGAGAAATAGAGAAATCGTAGGAGGGGGAGAGATTATAGGAAAAAAATAAAAACTGTAGAGAGAGGTAGGATAAATGGCAAAAAAATAAAGGGAAACCATAGAGCGGGAGAGAGTTTGGAATTTAAAGTATTAATAAATAAATATGAGGGAGAGAGATTTGAGGAAATATATAATATAAGAGATTTTAAATGTGTGAAAGAGATTTTAGGAAAGAGGGAGAGAGAGAAATAGAGAATCTGTAGAGAGGAAAAGAGTGATAGAGATTTTAGAAAAGAGGGAGAGAAAGAAATAAAGAAGCCGTAGAGAGGGAGAGCGATTATACGAAAGAAGTTAAAACTGTAGAGAGAGGACACATGGCAAAAAAATAAAGGTGGTCCTTCTCTCACTTAATAAATAATCTATATATATATATATACACTTCAACTGGTGATGATGAAGCCCTTTGCAAAATTTGGGGTAAAAACAGCCCACCAAAGGCCAAGATATTGACCATTCATAAAATGGATGGCCAATGTTGACTGTATTTCTCTATCCACAAAAATCAAACTTTTTTTGTTAAAGGTCTATTTGTGGGGTTAGGAGTGCAAAATTTTGGGCCAATATAGTTACTAGAATCATACACCCTAGTTAGCAATTTTGGTTTGGAACTGCGACTCTGATTCCACGTGTCTGTAAAGGAATATGCTATAGATTCCAATTTCTGGAAATTAGAAGTCATGATTCTACAATTTCTGAATCTCGTTCCAATATTTTTGGAATCTAGGTTCCACATCACAAAATTTTACCATTCAGGGGTACAAGACCATGATTCAATCGATACGAGAGCTCGCTTACAATTTTTTGGGAATAATGTAAGAAATATTTGGAATCTTGGTCCATGACATCAAAATGTCAGGTGGTATAATGATTGCCAAAATTTTATGGAATGCTTTTAATTTTTAAATGTTATTTTAAAAACTTTATTATTTAAAATTAATTAATAATTAATTTATGTGGTATCTAAAAACTCTATGGGTGTCTACAAATTCTGGTTCACGTCATTTCAAAATAAACTAAGGGTACTGGACTCGTTTTCCAATACTTTTGGAGAATTTGGATAAAAGGCACTCATTACATTGACTCTAATATTAGGGGAGAGCTGTCAACATCATTGATTCTAATAATAAAGGAGCCCTGAGTAAGCGTGCATAATATATGGAGTCCTATACTTTGGACAATCTTGCTCTAGATAATCTTAGACCTTAAATCTTTTGCGTTCTGGAACTCATCTCTTTGGTAATTTTTGGGCTGGTTCCAAGTGGTTTGGTGGAGGAACCATAAGTTAGGAATCTCGATTCCAACTTCCAAGTTGATGGGACCACGATTCCAACAATGTAGGAATCTCGATTCCTATTGAATCAGATGCAATTCCCAAATGGTAGGAATCTCGCTTCTCATATATGCAATGTACGGGCGGTGACTCATTCCTAAAATGATTAAGAATCATAGGTGTTTACATCAGCTATAGGCTAAACTAATGCTCGTAAGGGTCCAAGCAAGGAGGGTCCTATATATATATATTTTGTTGGTGTGGCATTCGAGGCAGCCAAGACTTGGCATGGAGAGGTGGCTTGTAAATATTCCCACTTGAAACCTAAAAAAGTCCTAGGTGGGGTGTGGGTCCCTAGGAGGGCCTCCTAGTCAAAGTAAACCACCATGTCATTCCAGTTTGATTAAGAGTTGTTTTTTTTTTTAGTGGATTCCTTTGTTTTTTTTTTTTTAGTGGATTCCCAAATTGATAGGAGTTCTTGCTTTGATCTTTTTCAACTCGTACTGGGTTTAGAGATAGTGTTTTTGGGAGTTGAGGTTCTTTCCTATATGGACCATGGATCACAACAATTAGTATTATTTTCTAGTTTGGTTAGGAAGCTTTCTTGATTATTTTAGAACCCAAGTATGTCCGGATTAGGATTTACCCAAGTATGTCCGGATTAGGATTTAACCATTGGCAAAAGCAATCAATTTCTGATTAATGAAATTTAAATTCATTCGACTATGGTTGGGGATCACTCTTTAAGGAGATAATTCTTGTCCCTTTTTTTTTCTTCTGGAGAGATTTCTTAGCTATAGAGAGATTGATTCTACAACTCTAGCATAAGATTGTGAGAGTCTCCCCAACAAGTTTTGAGGCTTTCTTTTCTTTTCTTATGTGGTTCTCCTTCCCAAATTACCTTCAACCAAATTAGTCACCTTATTTTTACCCCATCAGAACAATCCCATCTCCATACAAGTCCACAAAAAGTTGACACACTTGTTGTTGGTAGTTATGGCTCTTAAAGGCCTTATGAAAGCATGTAATCAATATTTGATATAGTGGAACAATGAACTTCAGTGGAAGTATGGTCCAGAGGGATAGCGACTGGCAAATGAAGTTTGCCGAGACTCAAACTAGGCTTAACGAGCTACGCCAGTCGAGTTACAAAACCCTTAATACCTGGGCATAGAGTACAACTGATGAGGGTTAGCAGGATTATCCCTTGATGAGGTTGAAGTTTCCCAGGGTAGAGAGCCAAGAGACTGTGTGACCCTTGCTTGTGATGGTAGGCTTGTAGGGACGAGGGCCAAAGCCTCATCTTTGAACCATCACACGACATGTACATGTGATAGCCATGTTAAGAATGAAAAATCACCATTGAAGGTGATATGTGTACATGTGCGAGAGATAACCCCCTTATGCATCATAGAGTTGTGGTTGACCCAGGTTTGTGTGACCTTGGACTTGTTCCTAGGGGGACTTATAATCCATATTAGCTGACTTTGGTAGCCCAATCATGAACCCTTGCGATGGGCTATAGGTCATGGGAACTGCTGGGTTAGTTTGAGAAATTAAGTCTGGATTATAGTCCAAAGTAGAAGATGAAGTGCTTCAACGAATTAATAATTCCTTAACATAGTTGGATCTAAACCCCATCAAAATTATTTAGAATTAATTATTTTGATTTTAACTGATTTTTAGATTGCTAGTTTGAATTTTTTGAAGTCTTTGGATATTTTATTTTCTTAAAATGGATATATAAATAGAGAAAAACTGGATTTTCAGTATTTTAAATATTTAGAGTGAAAAATAAAATAAATAACTTTTCAAAAAATCAATTTCTATATTTTATAATTTATACATTATATGGCGGCCCACCATATTGGCCCATGTGGGAAGTGCGTGGGGCCCACATAAGGGCCCTATGAGTGGCACGCCCCACTTAGGGAAGGCTCTTTCCTATTTTGTGGCCTTGTCCATCAAGCCACTCAATCAATTGATATGGAAAAGGAAAGTTTCAAAAATTAAGAGATTGGACTTTCAAGTTAAATATGTGTAAGAAGATTATGAAAAAGAAAGGCAAGTATAATATGTTTTCGTACTAATTTTATTTGATGAGATTAGGTTAAAGAAGCTGAAGGATAAAGTTCTAGCACCTTTCTTTTAGTCATGATGACTGATCTATAGATTGTATGACTAAGATCTCTCACCTCACAGGTCTCATTTGATCAATGGCCTGGATCTATTCTCCATAAGGATGGCTAACCCTAAGAAACCCTAGCGTTAGAGAAAATTTGTAAATAGGCACCATAGGGGGTCCTAATTCTCTATACCTTAAGCTCTCTCTGTCTCTCTCTCCCCCTCACAAGGTGGCAAACCACCCTCTTTTATCTCTCTTTAAGATCTCTCATCTCTCTCTTGCCTCCATTAGAAAATTTTAGTAAGAGAAATAAGGGGGCACGCCCCAAGCTTTGTGAATGGGGGACATGCCCCAATCAAGTGCCAAGGCTAGCGTATTATACTAGGTATTGAGACCTAGCCCACCAAGCCTAGGTATTGAGACCTAGCCTTTCATACTAGGTATTGAGACCTAGATTATCATACTAAGTATTGAGACTTAGTATACCATACATAGGCATTGAGGCCTAGTTTTGTGATTGTTCCCCTATTGCTCTCTGATTTGAAAGGGTTGATAACCTTAGGTTTCCCATACTTTAAAGATCTGATAAAGACCTTGATCCCTTGAGTCATTGGAGGAGGAGACTTAGAGTGGGATGTGCAAAGTCCAGTTGAGGTAATCTTCTGGCAATTTGTTTTCCTTATATGCAATTATATGTTTCCTGATTCTAAGATAAAGTTTATGCAATTTTGTTTGTACAATAAAGAGTTGAAAAAATGGCAGCAAGTGGGAGTCCTTGGGATTTTTTTTTTTTATTGTTTCTCATTATGTATTTGGACTTCTGTAAGTAATCCGGGTAGTAAAAATAAAGAAAAGAAAGAAAATTTTTTAATTGGTATACACTTGCCTTGGTTACATAGTCCAACTTTCACTTGTGTGAGGTCCAATTACATAGGTCCTATGTCATATACATGGATGGATAGATCTGTCTAGATGCTTTCCACTCCAAACCTCGCTTCATGTCTCCTTCTGCAGCAATTTTTTTCCTTCCAAAGCTCAATCTATGGAAATTGTACTTCTAGAATAGTTTCTTTATGCGTTTTTTGAATATCATATGGGTTCCTTGAGAGTGGTGACTATAGTTTAGTTTCTTTATGCCTTTCTTGAATATCATATGGGACCCTTGAGAGTGTGTGGTAACTATCTCAAATCATATACTGGCGAACCAGTGCCAAACCCCTTGATCAATCTGAGTAAGAGGTTTGGCTTTGAATCCTAGAGAGTTGAACAACTATTGACTGTTTGTCGTTCATTGTAATCAACAGGCATCACAGTTTCCCATTTTTTGGTGATATTCTGTTATTGTGTTAAATTTCCCCTGTTGGTCCACTTGCTTATGGGATTGCACCATGAGTTATTGCGTATTCATGTTATTCTAAGCTTGTTTTTTGCTATCTGCCATCCGAGTCTTTGAGTAGGATTTTTGAGGACATATATCAGATTTACAGTGCACGTTTGTCTCCTCTAAGTGGCACTATGATTGTTGTGATCATTGGGCTGTAGCCTCAGTTTAGCTTGCAGCCATGCATGTTTAAGATTCACGTTGAGTAGTATAGGGAGATCTTGACATGCCAACTTCGGTTGCTGCATTTTTAGAACCGCAACAGACATCAGCTTTGTATTTGTAATCGTTCTTTGGCTGCTGAGGACTTACATTTGGCATTTGTAGGAACTACTTGGAAGAACCCTTGTATTCCACGTATCCCTTTTGAGTTATTCTGAACTTTCATGGGCACTACGCAGTATAGTGGCCAGTGCAGTGGGGGTCCCTCCATCTAACATGGAGGTCCTTTTAGTTGCAACCTCCAGTTCCCATCTTTTGGGGTATTTGGCTTGAGAGGAATAAACAACTCGTTAAGGGGTATCCAACTTCCTCTAGGTCTTAGAAATTGCAAGCCTGGTCCCTTTGTAGATATGCCTCTCCTCAGCAACCCTCTTCTCTCCCCCATAAACCACTGGGCCCATCTATGTTCGTCTTTTCCTTTTGGAATATCTAATTACTAATCACTTTGCTTCTGCGTTAGGGGCTACTTTTGATGTCAAATAAAAAAGTTTATCGTTCAAAAACCGTGCAAGTTTCTCAGATATGCATTGAAATTATTTTTTTTTTTTTTAGTCTTAGAGAGAGTTGTCTGCATGAATCTGTCTTGAAGATCTCTCCTTTCTTCACAAGTAAACCAACTAGACTGAAGGAGTACCAGGACTTTAGCTGCATTGTCTGACACCATTCTAATGCTGCACTGCAATCACCTACCATGCTAACACTAGGATTTTCGCCTATATGACATCAATAACACCAGCTTATGGAATCTCCTACCTAGTGCAACTTGACAGCCAACACGCACCTCACGCCTCACTCCTCACCCCTCGCCTCTCATTTCTTTTTGATCTGTCTTTCTCCTGTAAAGCATAATTTTCAGCTGTTACAAGATTTTACACGTCCAGAATCTTACCTCTAAACCGTATCCATCCCATGGTATTTTACATGAGGGACTAATTCCATCTTTATATTTATACTCTCATATTTGTACTAATTTGGTACTTCTTACTTACTCATCAGGAAGAAGATCAGACATCCATGTAGCTTGTTGGAGAAGGGGTATTTAGTTGGACGTCAATGTAACTAGTAAGTTGGTGCTATGAGATTAATTTCTGATAAAAACTCACCAACTTGCATGTTCTTTCTGAATTTAGGAAAACAAGATATTAAAATGAAATTATTCATTTGGATTGGTTAGAAAACATTAAAGTTAGAACTAAACAACAAAAAACCAAGGAAAGTGGTATTTTGGGGAATAGGAGTTGACAACGCATATTCACTACAGAAATTGAGTGTGTAGGGCCCTCTGGTTTAGGTAATAGGACTCCTTATGTATTACCTACTTTGCCATGTTAGCAGAGTTCCTAATGTGCCGGGCTTGGAAGACATCATATTAACGTTCTGATTTAAAAGCCATGATGATCAGACCTTGAATGACGACCTAATCTCATTCTTAGGCATAATTTCAACTCTTCTTTGAGTTTTGTGACCATTATCTTGATCAAATATTTTGTTTGAACACAGGGTTCTGAGTTTGTCACAAATTTAGTTCCCCGAGGGTTATGCATGGTTTGAGCGCTTGCATTTCTAGAAGAATCTCTCCTGTCATTTATGTGTGATTGGTGGGAATCTTTCGATGAAAGTGCTATGGATTTGGTTTTTTCCATTTTCTAGGTAAGCTTGGACTTTTTGGATGTTTCTTTTGGCAAAAATTTTGTTCAATTGCAGAAATGAAATGCCTATAAAGCCTATTTCTGGTGCTATTTCCACCATTAAACATGAAATTTTGTGCAGTGCATTCTATGTGTATTACATACTTTTTACATTTGTAATTGGTTGACACGAGGGACCTGAATATTTGTCATTTAAAAGTATTGCTACAAAGTCCTGTGGGCAATTTGAAAACTATTGGAGTATGTTAGTTGCATGGGACACTATCTGCAGTGTAAGCCTTAAGGAATAGCTTAAGTTTTATGGGAGAATTACAAAATTAGGAGCATCGTGGCAAATTTTCACAGGTCATAGAAGGCTGAATGGGCTAGTATGCCCCCTATCAATTCTAAATTTTGCTAGACCATATGCTATATTGGATTGGGTCTTGTTTTGTTTTTTCCTAAGACTCATGTGGTTGGCTCATTTTTTTCCTAATGTGGAACTTTTATCTTCTCTTCAATTGCTATCCCTACTATGGGGCTTAGAGCATTACTCTTTTTGTGCCTTGACCTTAATTATTGATAGTTGTGAAGAACATATTGCTTTTTATTAGTTGTAGAAGTTTTCTTATTCTTCTTTTTAAAAATCATTTCTGTAAGCATGAAGTCTTTGAATTCTTCATTTAAATTGTTCCCTGTAAACATATTTTCAGTAATGCTTCTCTTTAATCTCATTTGATCCTTATTTATGCTTACAGAGCAAGGACGCTGTTGTCATTTGACATCTTTATTATGTGCTGAACAGGTAAAACTCAAAATTGCCGGTGATTCTTTATTAAGGTTTTAGTTAAACTTAGGAGCAACAATTATGTTATTTGTGTTTTTTAGTGCATAATCTCTTACAAAAATATCTAAGTTTAGTGTTCAGGAATTTCAGATAACTATTACAGGACTCTAATTATTGGAGTGAAATTGCTACTTAAACTGATGTGGTTCTTATTTAGTTAGGCATAGTATCTGATTGGAATTTGATGTTCTGAAACTATTGTTTGTTGGGGGATTAAGGTTGGTGCCAATGGAAATTGTCTCAAAGTTTGCACATTAATGCCTTTCACATGCTTATTATATGCGTGATCAATGTTAGATTGAACCGGTGGTCGAACCGGTAAGGGCATTGGTTTGGTTAGATCAGCTGGACCAAAACCAATTCCCCACTCAGACTGGTCTACAAAAAAAAGGAAATTACAAAAAAAATCGAAACAATAGAAAATATAGAAAAAACTAGAAAAATAGAGAAATAGAATTATTAGTAACACAAATAAATACACCATATGTCCCTCTCTCGTGATGCATGTCAATAACAACCCTACATCAAATGAAAACATGCGATACTCATTGGCCATTGCAAAATTAACCAAGTACCCAATAAGAAATATGTAAATGAACATTTAAAAAACCCCTTGCTTTTCTTGAAAAATATTGAATGAATATGAATTAAGCAATTGAACAAAAAGCCATCAATAATTCATTTAATCCTAGCAATATTGTGATTATTATCAATTTAAATAAAACTCAATATACACATAAAATGCACAAAATCCATTCTATAAAACAGACAAATCAGGAAGAAGGGTAGGTCACACCTTTTTGATAGCAATACAACTACGACTTCTTTTTAGTCTACATGCGTACTGCACATCTTTTTGGTGGTTTTTGTCCAAAGCTCCCACTTCTTTGGATGCTTATTTTTTGTGTACAGCCCCTGGTTGTCATGGTGCCCATTTTGTATAGAGCTCCCGGCTTTTGGGTAGCCATTTTTTGTAAACTTGTAGAACTCTCTTGTACATTAACATTCTAAAAAAAACAAAAAAAAAATAGAAAAAGGGTGTAGATTTACTTTGGGCGGGTTGATGGCCGGAATCATTGCCGAAAGACGCCAGATTTTTGCCGAAGATAATGGAGGGTTCTGGATAGAGAGGGAGATAAAAAATTCTAAAGTAGATTGAATTGTTGTTACACCATCCCAAATATTTAAATGACTGAACTGCTTCTAAACTATTTCAATATGACAAAAAGCCCTTAAAAAATGGCCAATTTTGACTAAAAAATTGCCAAAAAAATGAAGGTTCTTTTTCTTTTTTAGTTCATATCAGGTCCGGTTGGTTCGACCTAGACCAATCAAACTGGTTGGTCCAACCCATAGTTACTGGAATCTCTCACCCAAGGCCACGAATGCGATTTGGAATCCCAATTCTGTGATTTTGACAAGGAACCTTCACAAAATCTGGTTTTGTGAAGTCAGGAATTTCGATTCCTTATCTTTGGAATCTCGATTCCAACACTTATAGAATATCATTTCTAGTATTTATTGATTCTCGATTTTGCAATTGTTTAATCCTGATTCTACATTTGTTGAATATGGATTCCACATCTAATGATACTCTCTCCATAAATTAGAAATACAAATATAGGGCAATGAACTACAAAATAAGTAATTTAGAACCTATGAGAAGCTTCAAATCAAAAACTCGATTCCAAAGATATTGGAATCTCGATTCCATATATGAAAGAATCTCCATTACATGTGGGTCAATTCCAAGGTTTCAAAAAATGCTAGGCGGGTGTCCAGAACCTCAGGCGCCTCGTAATTTAAAAAAAACAAAAAACACCTAGCCCGCCTGGCCCGCCTGGACGCCCGCCTAGGTACATCCGCTTGGGCACCCGCCTAGGCGCCCGCCTAAGCACACGCCTAACCCGCCAGGGCACCCGCCTGGGCTCCCGCCCAAGTACATCCGCCCATGCAGGGCCTCCTGGGTCTAGGCGAGCGGATTTTTTGTCCAAGCCGCCTAGGCGGGCGCCTAGGCGCTAGGCGGATCGTTTTTTAAAACATTGGTCAATTCCAAATCGATCAAAAACTTGATTCTAAAGAGGACAAAATCTCGTTTCCATATATGTAGGGATCGCCATTCCATTTGGTGAATCTCAATTCCTATAAAGTATGAATCTCGTTTCCTGCAATTCCCCTTGTATGGACATCAATTTTGAAAGTAGTAATCTCCTAGCCAGCCACGATTTTGCAATTCCGATTTCTAAAACAATTCGGAATCTTAGGCGCTTCGAAAACTGTGGTCCAACCATCAGACAAGCCGGTCCACTGGCTTGATATTGGTTTTATGGACATTGCAAGCCAAGGGGTTTGAATTGACCTGAATGGCCTCCAGTTCTTGGTCAGGACCAGTTGGTTAGTTTTGGTCTTAACTTAATTGGTTGTGAATGTGTTAATGTGTAGACACAAGATTCTCATTGTCTTAGAACTTGATAAGAAATATGGGAAAACTATAAATGCGTGAAAGAGGCTCATTGTCATTTATACCGGCGTAGTTATGCTAATGTCTTATCTCATTCCTCAAAGCATGTGTTTTTTTCAAGTTTAATCGTTGTGATTGCATGTTTCAAAGTTACAGTCTTCTTGCTTTCCATTGTCTTTTGGCTTGTTTTTTTCCCTTAGGTCCCATGTGGTTGTTACAGCCCAGCCCCATAGTGATGAGAAATAAAGAAAGAAAGGATCTTCAAGCCCTTCCCCTCTCGCAATCTCTCAAGCTCTCCTCATTAGTTTTCAAAGGTAGAGAACAAGGTTCATTAAGGTTTAGTTATATGGTTTTTTGTTGAAAACCTATGTTCAAGGTCATACATTGTTCCTTTCAAAATGAGATGACTTGAGAAAAGTAATTTAAACTTATAATTTACACATGAAAAGACACTGGTCTTTAGCTCGTTGAGCATGTGACATGCATGATTGTCTTACTCTAGGAGATGGACGTACGCATCTTGTTAATGATTTGACTTTTGAAAGCAGATTTTATTGGGGTTTTGCTCTTCCATGGTAGTGACTTCTTACTTATGACTCCCTTCTTGTTTTGTTTTGCATCAATCTCTTAGATGTCTACCTTTTGAATCTCTTTTTTCTTATTTGCTGGTGTCAGAATGTTCAATAATGGTTTTGCTAGCAAACTTGATGAAACTCTATGCAACAAATAGTAGATAAAAGAGACTGATATGAGTAATAGTAAATAAAAGGATAAAGGTTGGGTTACAAATGCTTTTCCCAATACTCATGAGCTTGTGTTGCTTGAGTTTCTGTCGTTATTTCTGTGTTCCTCATGAATTAGGAATGCTGATTGATGTGTTTCAAAGTGCTAACTTTAAGGTGATAAACATTAATTCTGCTTTTATAAAATGCTTATTAGGATGGTGATAATTTCAACTCTGTTCATCCTTATCTATTTACAGGCTAAAAGCCAGAAGCTTCAAAGTGACCTTGATGCCATCCTTCCTTCTAGCAAACGGAAAATACCCAAGTTAACCCCCACGGAGCTGTCCAGAGAGCTGAAATCTGTTACTCCAAAAAATTTACTTGGTAATCTTGATACAAAATCTATTCAACCAAGTCAAGATGCTGTTGATTTGAAATGTGGTTCATTTACTCAAATCGCGCCAGGTGAGTGCTTTGTGCTAGCATACATTGCTTATGGAGCTGATTTGTGGTTTACGATTTCTGATCTATGTTTTGTCTTCATGTATAGAGTTGGCAACAAATTTTGCTTTGTAGTTCTTGGGGTCATTTTTTTCCATTTATCCACAACTACGTTGTCCCATTATTTTTGTGTGAATGATTAGCGACTAGGAATATTAATTGCTTTATTAGATTATTCCAAAGCTAACACTGGAGTACTTCTTACTAATCGAATTTGTTAATGGTGAAAAGTAAATGCTGCTTCATAATTTCTCAGTTTCTTTCCATGCCAAGGCAGAATGGGGCATATAATCATTTTTTTCCATGAGTTAGTTGATCATGTCAGCTTAATTGATTCTGTTGTTTGAGATGGTGGCGATTCATAAAATTTGGTCTTAATATGTGAAGAATCTTTCTATATGGCCTCAAACACATCTCTGCCATGAAGTACTTTGACCTCGTATGAGTGCTTTATTGTGTGGATTGATCTCTAGTGTGTGAATGCAAGTCTGCTGCCTACATAGTTTTTCTATTTATCTTGTGTTATAACATATCAGTAATGTTTTCCCCTTTTTTAGTAAAAAAGGTTTTTAGGGGTTTTCTTCATCCTTTTGTGTTTCTATAAGGGCATTTTGATAAAGTGAAAGTCCAGGGTTCTGTTGTTGCTATAAAAATATTTTTAGAGAGAGCCAATTCCCTCTTTGTCTCAACCGAAAAAATAGAAGCTCAAGGCAAAAATTAGGCCACTTTTTTCGATCAAAATCCATCCAAAAGGACAAAATATTCAACCCTCAATTAAGTTTATTTTCAGCCCTCGAGTAAGTGTGTGATTTATTTTAAGTTTTCTCTTTTGGCTTGATAATGCCAATTGGCTAAAGAGGAAGTGATGGCATGCGCCGCAGGTTCATAAGAGTATCGCATTTTTTTGGCACACCTTTGTTTTGCGGTCCCATTTTTTCTAAGGACTTATGGAATCCCTGGATCCTCAGTTTATATGTTTTTGTGAATCCTCTGTGAATGGGCAACTATTATAAGCCCCACCCATTTTTTGTTTAGGGCTACTCTTTTTGTAAGCCTATTTTTTGCCGAGAGGCAAGCCCTCTAGGCCCTCTTGATGGACGACTGTAATTTTCTCTTTCACTTAATACAACAATTAACTTAATAAAAAACAATTCCTAAAAAAATTGTAATTTTTTTTCAGGTTTTGGGTTTAAGGCTTTTATAATTCTTTTTTATATATATTTTTTATAATATTGGTTTTGATTTTTGAAGGGCTTTTACAATTTGTAATAGCCTTTGAAAATCAAACAAAAAATGCAAAGAAAACCAAAACCTAAAGGGAAATCAATGTAAATATCCCTTCATTTTGGGATATTTAAAAATATCCTCAAATTTTGTAATTTTACATGAACATCGCTTTTCTCCCCTTTCTTATTTTTCTCCAAATTGCCCCTAGCGCAAAACTCAAATCAACTTGCTTGCCTTGTGCCTTTGTTTTTAGTTAGTAACTTAGAGTGCTGAACAAACTTTTTGCTTCAAAATTATGTTCAGAACTTAAAGTTCTGAATTTATGTTTTTCACAAAAAATATGTTTAGAACTTTAACATCCTTTTCTATGTTAAAGTAATGTTGGGAACGCTAACTTCCAAACATAAGTTTTTTGTTATAGAAGTTTTACATTTGGAACCTAGAGTTCTGAACATAACATTAACATAAAAAAAGATGTTCCAAACTTAGATTTCAGCAAAAAATATGTTCAGATCCCAAAGTTCAAAACATCCTTTTTTACTTTAACATTATGTTTGGAACTCTAAGTTCTAACATAACTCTTTTGTTATCAATGTTAACACTAAAAAGTAAAAAAGGATGTTCCGAACTTAATGGCCCGAATAGATTTTTTTGTTAAAATCAAAGTTTGGGACTCTAAATTCTGAACATAGTTTTTAAGCAAAAAAATTGTTTGGAACTTCAATTGTTGACAAGGGCATGACGTAATCAACTTGGTTAGGAACTTGGATTTCCAAACCAGGGGCATCTTGGGAAAAATTAAAAAAGGGACATGCCTATCAAATTGAACAATTTTGGGACAATTTTTTAATACCCAAAAATAGAGGGACATTTACATTCCAAACTGAAAGGTATTTTTTGTGCATTTTGGGTTTTGATTTTTGAAGGGCGTTTACAATTTGTAAACTTCTTTACAAGGTAAAACCAAAAATGCAAAAAGAAAAGAAGGGAAAATTACATACGAACATGTTTTTTCCTCCTTTATTATGATATGGACAATGTTTTTACAAAAATTATGTTTAGTCAACCCCCATCGTGCGACTCTTTTTTATCTAGAATTCCCCGCCTGTCGAGATTTCCAACATTGGATAGGTGGAAAACCCACAAGTTTTCTATTTTCTCACTCAGGCCTGTCCAATATCGGGAACACTGAATAGCCATACTGTTTGGTATTTCTATTGTTGTCCCAACTTCCTAAGCTTTTTGGCGGTAGAAATACTGGACTTATTATAAGTAATTATTAGTATTTAAAGTCTTATTATTTAATTAGTATAAGAGTTTAAATTTAATATAATATAATATTTTTTTATTCTAAAATATTAGATAAATAGAAATATTTAATTATTAGAATATTTCTTCTAATATAAGAATTAAGAATTTCTATTCTATCATTTTAGGCATTTAACTGAAATTTTAATTAGATTTTACTTCTATTTATTTCATTTTTATTTTTCTAATTTGCCAATTAGAATAGTAAACTATATATATATATATATATATATAATGGTAGAATCATAAAATAGAAATCTGAAATAGAATATAAAAATATAACAAAAAACAGAATGGAAAATTAGAAATAAAAAAATAAAAAGTAAGTAGAAGATAAAGGAAAATATTTTAAAAAATACATTCAAAATGAAGCAGTTAACTTTATCAAAAAAAAAAAATTAAAATATAAGTAACAATAAATGAAATAAAAAAAACAAAATTTAATTAAATTACATAAACTCTACTCATTAAATGGTAATATTTTAATAATAATGGTTAATTATAATAAGACTGATGTTGCTAACAATGTATAGCTTTGGAAGTTGGGCTTTCTGACATTATAATCATCGAACAGTAAGGTAGTTCAGTGTTTCTAATGTTAAGCAAGTCCTGAGTAAGAGAAAAATAGAAAACTTGCGGGATTTCCCATCTATTATGTGTTGGACATATCAGATAAGTGGGCAAATTCTAGGAAAAAAGGCAATGGGTTGTGGGTGGTCTTTGTGTAATTTTCACAAAAAATGTCTTAAACCGTAATAAGGGGACGAAAATGCATTCTTAAAAGATTGGCAATGTGATCTAGCCAAGTATATGCCGTTAAATTTTTTTTTATTTTCTTTTATTTATACTGGCTAGAACACTTACAATTGTCCAAAATACATTTTAATTCATAAAAATGAAACCCTAATACAATCTAGGATCCTCACTTGCATACCTTAAAAAATATTTTATTCAACTAAATCAAAGGACAATACATAAGAACTGCATAAAAAAACTTAGAACCGTAAAATACCAGATTACCTTGTCAAGGTTTACCCTTGAGGACTTGTTACACCCCACTCGGATCTCCTAAACCAATGGCGCAAGTGATCTAGGTCCTTTCACTTTGTCTCACAAATGGGAAGTGTAGCAAAACCTTGATTCAATGAGAGCATGGTTACCCCTTAATGTCTTATGGATAGGCACTTGAAACCACCTTTTTCTACTTAGGACGTGCCACCGCTTGTACTTTTCTTTAGGTGTGGCACCGCTTCTTTTCTTAGGTTAGAGGGAAGACAAGAGAGAGAAAGAGAGATGTGAGAGAGGGCATGTAGGCCTACACACACACACACGCAAAGAGAGAGAGAGAGAGGATTCCACCCCCAAAGGGGGTATTTGTAGATGCAAAACTGAGGTGTGGAGGCCACCCCCAATCCTCAGATCCTTGCAGATTGTTGGAACTCTTTGTTTTGTGTATAGAATTCATTTTTTTTGTATAATAAATAAGATTATATATATATTTTTATATATAATGTATTGTTCAAAAGTCAGAACTACCGATCAAACATGAACAAACACGACTTTAAACTGTGAATAAAATAGTTTAAACTTAAAAAGCAACATTAAAAGAATGAAAATTACTAGCCGTAACTAGAAATGTTAAGTTTCTATTAAATTTGTCTCAAAACTCGAGATGTCCATTAAATCTCGCAAGTCACAACATATTATTCATAAAAAAATAAAAGTCACATCTAACAATGAAAGGCCATAAACTAGAAAAAGTAGTCTTCTTCATCCCATAAATTTGATGAACTCAAATATGAGGTTAAGTTTCATCATCAGTAGCAACAAGATGTTGACATCCAAGGCCAACATCAAGTGCACCTGAATCTGATGTTGATGCCAAGCCATCATCATTAGAGTCATTCTCGTCCTCCACATGAAAACCTTTTTCCCTTGTCTCCTTTGAGTTTGCATCCTCTTCCTCCACTATCGTCCTCCTGCACTTCGTCTACACCTCCTTCTCCTTCCCCTTCCCCTTTGTAACTTCCTTTCCCTTACTCTGAGTTAGGGATCTAGTAGTTCTCATGGGGCTCGATGCTATACCAGCCGCTACTTGCACTTGGGTCCATTCCAAGCTCTCTCCCTTGAATATAGGCTCATCGCCAACATCCTGATTCCATTCACTTGTTGGATCTAAATCTTTCACAACTATAGGGTCTTCAATTTGAAGCTGCTCTAGATGGTTCTCCTTCAGTTTCTGATTATATTGAATGAAAACAAGGTCACTCTATCTCTTCTGCTTGATTCTATTTCTCTTCTTTGTATGTATTGTAGTACATCGTTGCACTATTAGAATTAATTGCTTAAAAAAATATCGAGAATGCTAGTGTAGTAAATTGATAGGAGATGAGGGTAAATGGAAAATTTACTGACTCGAATGCGCTGAA